CTGGGCCGGGGCTGGGCCGGGGCTGGTGCTGCAGCTGAGCCGCTGTCCCCCCAGGGTCCCCGCAGAAGGATCCAGAGTACCAGCTGCAGGTGCAGGACTCGGTGACGGTGCAGGCGGGTCTGTGTGTGCACGTGCCCTGCAAGGTGTCCTACCCCTGGGAGGGCTGGAACAACTCTACTCCAGCGTATGGCTACTGGTACCAGAAAAGGGAGACTATCGAAGATGTTCTCGTGGCCACAAACAACCAAGGCAAGAAAATAACAAGGAAGGTGAAACCTCCCTCTCCATTCGACCTCTCCGGGGACCCGGGGGCCGGCGACTGCTCCCTGAGCATCTCAGCTGTGGGGCCCAGACACAGTGGAAAGTATTACTTCCACCTGGAGAGGGGCCCTGTGAACCACACCTACTGGGACAACCCGCTCACTGTGACCGTCACAGGTATGGAGCGGTCCCAGGAATGGACCACCGGGCTGGGCAGCAGTTCAGGGTTGGGGTGCACACATGGGGTGCCCTCTGGGCCTGGCCTCGCCCTCTCTCTCTCCAGCGCTGACACAAACCCCGGACATCCACGTCAAGAAGCTTCTGGAGGCCGGTCGCCTGGGCCACCTGGTGTGCTCCCTGCCCGGGGCCTGTGCTCTGCTGCCGGCTGGCACTGTCTCCTGGGACGGGGCTGCTGCCCTCAGGCTCCAGGCGCTGGGCTCCTGGGCCTCTAGGTACCCAGAAATCGTGCTCAAGCCCCGCCCGCAGGACCACGGCACCAACCTCACCTGCCGGGTCACCTTCCCAGGGGCAAATGTGAGCAGCGAGAGGACCATCACGCTCAACGTGTCCTGTGAGTCCGGCCAGGACGCCGGGTGGGGGGTGGGGGTGGGGGATGGGCTGCAGGAAGGACACAGGCGCCTGTCTCTCCACTTCCCGTTTCTGTGTGTCCTGGGGGTGGGGAGGTGGGGAAGGGACTCTGTTCCTCACTGTGTCCCTCTGTCCAGATGCACCACAGAACCTGACCATCAGCATCTCCCGAGGAAGCCACACAGGTAAGGGGGATGCTTCTCTCTCACATGGAAGTTTCTCTCACTCGCCCCTCCCCTCTCTCCAAAATCAATGAAAATATATCCAATGGTTGAACTGTGGACCTATGAACCAGGAGGTCACGTTTTGATTCGGTCAGGGCACATGCCTGGGTTGAGGGCTCAATTCCCAGTAGGGGGCTTGCAGGAGGCAACTGATCAATGATTCTCATCATTGATGATTCTCTCTCTCCCCCTGACCATCAGCGTCTCCCGAGGAAGCCACACAGGTAAGGGGGATGCTTCTCTCTCACATGGAAGTTTCTCTCACTCGCCCCTCCCCTCTCTCCAAAATCAATGAAAATATATCCAATGGTTGAACTGTGGACCTATGAACCAGGAGGTCACGTTTTGATTCGGTCAGGGCACATGCCTGGGTTGAGGGCTCAATTCCCAGTAGGGGGCTTGCAGGAGGCAGCTGATCAATGATTCTCATCATTGATGATTCTCTCTCTCCCTCTCCCTTCCTCTCTGAAATCAATAAGAATGTATTTAAACACACACACACTCGGGTGAGGATTAAAAAAAAAAAAAAAGGAGAGGAGAGAGAAATAGGAAGACTTCTGATCCGCAGGCCTGAGCTGGGCTCCGTCTCTCTCCAGAGCTGGAACACGTGGGGAACGGCTCAGCTCTCCGGGTCCGGGAAGGGGACTCGCTCCGCCTGCTCTGTGTCGCCGACAGCAACCCTCCCGCCACGCTGAGCTGGGCCCATGGCAACCGGTCCCTGAGCCCCTCACAGCCCCAGGAGCCCGGGGTCCTGGAGCTGCCCCGGGTGGAGGCGCGGCACCAAGGCAGATTCACCTGCCAAGCTCAGCACCCGCGGGGCTCCCTGCGCGCCTCCCTGCGTCTCCGCCTGCAGAGTGAGTGTGTGTGTATGGAGGGGGCGGGGGCACACGGGGTCCTGGGAGGGCAGAGGCAACCCTAATCCTTCTCCTCGCTCCCCACAGACCCCCCGCAGCTGCTGGGACCCTCCTGTTCCTGGAAGGACCAGGGTCTGCACTGCAGCTGCTCCTCCAGGGCCCAGCCGGCCCCCTCCCTGCGCTGGCGGCTGGGGGCGGGGCTGCTGGAGGGGAACCATGGCAACGCGTCCCACGTGGTCAACTCCAGCTCAGAGGGGCCCTGGACCAACAGCTCCCTGAGCCTCCGCGAGGGGCTCAGGGAGGGACTCAGACTCAGCTGCGAGGCCCGGAATGTGCACGGGACCCAGAGCGCCTCTGTCCTGCTGCTGCCTGGTCAGGGCCTGCTGGGCGCAGAGGCCACGGAGAAAGGAGTGGGTGAGAGGGAGGGTGGGGCTGGGGGAGGGGGGCTGAGTCAGGAAAGAAAGGGGTGAAAGGAAGAAGTGGGGTGCACAGAGCACAGGCAGGGCACAGGGTCCTGGGGCGCGGAGGGGAGTCACCCCAAACCCCATTTGTCCGCAGGGAAGCCCGCGCTTAGGGAAGCATTCGTCCTGGGGGCTGTCACGGGAGCTGGTGTGGTTGGGCTGCTCGGTCTCTGCCTCGTCGTCTTCATGTGAGTGTCGTCCCCGGAGAGCAGGAGGCTGGGCCTGGAACCCCACACGGCCGCCTGGGGGGATCTGGGTGGTGCAGGGGTTGTGAGAACAGGGCCATCCGACCCCCCACCGAGAAGGGAGCCTGTTCTCATCGTGAAAGTCAGAGTGCAGGCATGTCCCCTGGTCCGGCCGGGGTCAGCCCTTCTAGCCTCCTTGGCAGGGGATGGTGGTCACACGCTGAGCTCTGCGCCCCGCAGGCTGCTCAGGGGTCCCCGCCTCCCCTTCAGAGTGAAGACCCGCAGGAGGGGCGCACCCCGGGCTGCAGCTGGCGAGAAGGATGCCTCCTCCACGGGGGGTCCCGCCTCCTCCACGCGGGGTCCCGCCTCCTTGGTGAGTCATGCCCCCCTCCCCCATCGGATGCCGCTGCCATCTCCCCAGGACGCCGTGGCCACATCCACCCCGATGACTTAAGATGGTCATCGAGCCCCAAGCAGGCCTTTCCTCCTGGGTCCCCATCAATCCAGGCACCCAGGCCGGCGGCCGGGAGTCCCCCTCCCCTCCGCTCCCATCTCCTCTCAGAGCCAAGGACCTGCCCATCTTCCTGAGTGTGTTCAGGTCCAGGGGGGCCCTCCCTGTCCCCGCTCCCACTTCCTCCTCCTTCCCCTCTCTCCTCCCCAATACAGGACGCCAGAAGGATCGCCCCCAAATAATTGTCCGCTACAAGTTTAGGGGTCCCCGAGGCACTCTCATGTTCATGTCTCCCCAGAGGGACTCAGACTCAGAGAAGTTGTCCTACTCGTGGTCATGGTTCATTACAGCGGTCGGACGGGGATAGAATCGGCCCCGGGAAGAGGCGCGTGGGGCGGGCCCAGGAGCGACAGGCGTGGGCTTCCGTGGTCGCTCAGCGGAGTCACAAGGACAGTGCCTAGTCTCCCAGCAATGACGTGTGACCACACGCACGGGCACCCCACCGGGGAAGCTCCCCGAGCCTGATGTCCAGTTCTAACTGGGGGACGGTCACGTGGCTGGACTCAGTTTCCATCCCCGCAGAGGTCAAGCCGACACCCCGTGGCCCAAGGCCGACATCCATCACACGAACTGCCTGGTGTGGCCCACAGTCCCCAAGGCTTAGAGGTTCCCTCCCAGGTGCTGGGGGCACAGGGTCAAGCTTTTTCTCTGAGCAGCGTTCACCCTTTACTGTACAGTATCCTTTGTAGGGCGCATGATGTAATTCACGAATGCGTCTGCTTGCACCCCTGAAATGCCTTGTGGCCCCCGAGGGCAGGGCAGTCTGGGCCTAAGCAAATTCCGTGCCACCACCCCATTCTTGTGCTTCCGATTGCAATGTGCAGTGAGAGTAACATAACCGCCCGCCGCCTGCAGGTCTGCTGGCCCCCCTGCAAGCTGGCGGGTCAGAGGCGGGTCTGCTTTGCTCCCCAGTGAACATCCAGGGCCCGGCACAGGGCCGCTGTCCCACAAGGCAGCAGGCACTGAAGCCAGAGGGACTCGGGCATGAGTCCTGGTCCTCCCAACAACTAAATGTGTGATTTGGGGATATTTAGCCTCAGTTTCTCCACCTGACAGGTAGAATAGAGTTAGCGTCGCCCTAGTGCTGTGGTTGGCAAACTGCGGCTCGCGAGCCATAGGCGGCTCTTTGGCCCCTTGAGTGTGGCTCTTCCTAAGCCTTACGAGCACCCTAATTAGGTTAATAACAATGTACCTACCTATATAGTTTAAGTTTAAAAAATTTGGCTCTCAAAAGAAATTTTGTACTGTTGATATTTGGCTCTGTTGACTAATGAGTTTGCCGACCACTGCCCTAGTGGACTCTTGTGAGGAATCTAGGTGGCTGGCAGTCCATTACCAAGGGCCAGGCATCACTTCTCTAAAATATCTGCTGACTCAATGCATGGGGGGGAGGGGCCCCGCCGCCAATGTCTGTGGAATGAACAGATGAAAGACTAATTTGCTCAGTTTCCGGGTTTGCTTGTGGGCCCTCCTTGCTGACTCCCAGCCCCCATTACCCGAATTTGACTGCCTCTCCCCCCTCCACTCAGGGTGGCCAGCGTGAGTGTCGGCCAGGCAGCCAGCTAGACCACCCGTCCCCAGCTGCGCCCCCCGCTGCCGCCGCCCCCGCCTCCGGGGAGGAGCTGGAGCTCTATTACGCCACCCTCAGCTTCCAGGGGCCGAGGCCCGGGGAACGGCCTGACCAGGAGGCCACCACCAGCACCACCGAGTATGCCGAGATCAAGATCCACACCTAACGGGACCCCAGCTCCCGGGACCCCTGGCTTCTCGGGGAGGGGAGACATCAGGGACAATTCCCAAGAACGAGCTGACTACGCGGGTGTCCCACTGGTGCCGTGATGGGCAGAACTGGCCTCAAATTTCAGCCCGTCTCCAACCGCGAGCATGAGTCTGAGCAAGTCACTCTACTTCTCAGTCTGCCCTCTGTAACACAGACACAGTAAACCTAACCGGACCCCGGCCGATGTGGCTCACTAGCTGAGCGTCCACCTATGAACCAGGAGGTTACGGTTCGATTCCCGGTCAGGGTACATGCCGGGGTTGTGAGCTCGATCCCCAGTGTGGGGTGTGCAGGAGGCAGCCGATCAATGATTCTGTCTCATCATGGATGTTTCTATCTCCCCCTCTTCCTTCCTCTCTGAAATCTATTAAAATATATTTTTAAAAAAACACCTACCTTGAGTGGTTGTTGTGGGGCGTTGAGGCAATAATTAGGTAAAGCTCTAGGCAGGCGCGCGCTCGTGCGCACAGAGCACCACCCGGATGCCACACCTCTTCCCAGGGAAGCTCACCGGGAATAAGGGTCCGAAGAGATTTTGTTTATTCCTTGTAATTATTCTTCAATTGGTATTTATCTCTCTTCTTATTTTTTAAAATATTTTTATTGATTTCTGAGAGGAAGTTGGAGGGAGAGAAAGCGATGGAAATATCAACGATGAGAGAGTCATTGATTGCCTGTTTCCTCCACATCCCCTACTGGGTTTGAAGCCTGTCACCCAGGCATGTGCCCTGCCCGGGAGTCAAACCCTGAACTCTTGGTTCATAGATTGATGCTCAACCCCTCAGTTACTCCGGCTGGACTATATCTACTCTTGAATAATAAAAAATTTCAACATTTAAGACACATCCACCCATACTCTCGCCATTTTGTATTGTTATTGTCATAGAGCTTACAGCTATGAATTTGATAAACTTTAGAGAACATTAATAATTACTTGGATGTAAACAATTACTTTATTTCCAGATTAATTGAGATATTTTTGATATAGAGTGCATGCAAATTTAAGGTGTGCAATGTACATATTTGATGCACCTATATAGTGAAGTGATTACCACAATAAGGTTCATCAACACCTCCATCCTCTCATGTAATTACCATTGTTATGGTTATAACACGAATGATGTATAACCATAACAACTTTCAGGGATATAATACATTCCTGTTAATTGTACTTGCCATAGTGTCCAGGACATCCCCAGGAATTGTTCCTCTTGTAGCTGAAAGTTACCCTTGATCAACATCTCCCCATTTCCCCACCCCCAGCCCGTGCAACACCGTTCTACTCTCTTCCTGTGAGTTCAGCGTCTTTAGACCCCACTGTGAGAACACACTGCAGGAAAACAATGACTATTTTTGAAAAATACCCTCACAGTTGTTCCTCTCATGCAGTTCTGGGTTTCCATCACAGAATCATTCTCCTCTATGCAAAAATGTATTAAAGACCTAAATATAATACCAACCACTATAAACTCTTAGAGGGAGACATAGAGGGAAATCCCAGGACATTGGATTTTGCAATGATTTCCTGGATATTTACATCGAAAGCACAGACAAGGGAAGCAAACATAGACAAGTGGGACTGTACCAACTTCAATACCTGAGCTCAAAAGGACACTCTCACCAGAATCCAGACTACAGGATGGGAGAGAAGGTGTATCTGTGAAGGAGTTAATATCCAGTATCTATTACAAACTCACACAAGACAACATACGAAACCCAAATAACACAATTGAAGAAATGGCTAAAACCTTGACTAGACATTTCTCCAAAGATGATGGACAAATGGCCAACAAAGTCATGAAAAGAGACACAACATCAGCAATCCTACAGAACCATGAAAGAACTCCTTAGGCCTGTGGGAGTTTCACTTAGTGCATCAGGGCGTTAATATGAGGGAGAGAAAGAGAGAGATCTGTTGTTCCACTTATTTATGCATTCATTGGTCGATTCCTGTATGTGCCCAGACCAGGGATTAAAACTGAAACCTTGGTATATCAGGATGACACTCTAACCAACTGAACTACCCAGCCAGGGCCATTAAGTGCATTTTCAACTTACAATATTTTCAGCTTATAATAGGTTTACTGGGATGTGGCTCCACTGTAAGTTGAGGAGCATCTGTACATGGATGGATGGATGTGTGGATGGATGGATGGATGGATGGAAGGAAGGATGGAGGGGTGGCTCCATGAAGTCTGGACAGATGCATGAAAGGGTAGATGATGGATGAGAGGTTGACGGGATGGGTGAATGGGGAGAAAAAGGGAGCTAAGCTTTCCCAAAAGGAACATCTTTTGCGGACACTCGACTCTCCAAGCTCCAATGAAACCATTTATTACAAAGCACAGTGGTTGCAATGGCAGGAAGGGTCCCACTGAGGGGCCGGCTCAATCCCATCCCGAGTGAAGGGTCTTCTCCGTTCTCCACCCCAGCGGCTGCGGGAGATGACGTGATGGATGGATGTGTGGATGTGTGGATGGATGGATGGATGGATGGATGGATGGATGGAAGGAAGGAAGGATGGGTGGAGGGGTGGCTCCATGAAGTCTGGACAGATGAATGTAAGGGTAGATGATGGATGAGAGGTTGACGGGGTGGGTGAATGGGGAGAAAAAGGGAGCTAACCTTTCCCAAAAGGAACATCTTTTGCGGACAGTCGACTCTCCAAGCTCCAATGAAACCATTTATTACAAAGCACAGTGGTTGCAATGGCAGGAAGGGTCCCACTGAGGGGCCGGCTCAACCCCGTCCCGAGTGAAGGGTCTTCTCCGTTCTCCACCCCAGCGGCTGCGGGAGATGACGTGAGGAAGGGACATCAAAGGAGGGCGCTCACATTACCTGGAGCCTAACTGCCACGTTCCTGCCCATCAGCCCATCAGCGTCGCCTACAGAAGCGGCAGGAATGCACGTCCGAGGGATCTTTCTAGAAGCTAATCTACAGCAGGCCTGGGTTTCACATTTCTTCTTCCCATTTTTTTCCCGATTTCAAACTGGGAGTTGAAAGAAAGTGCTGGAAGTGCTGGAAGACAGTGGAAATGGCCGTGAGTGTCTCCTGCATTCAGGGCGCTCCCTGGGCCTGGGACGACGACGGTAGAAACACCACGGACAGGGAAGGAGCACCTCCGCGGGGCTTACAGCTTGGAGGAGGGGGTGGGGATGCTACAAATTACACACACTTCCCTCCAGGGGTGGGGCAGGGGCTGCCAGAAAACAGGTGATGTGATCAGAGAGGAGGTGGGGAGGCACCTCACGGAGGGGCAAACGGGGGCCCCAGGATCTGAGAAAAACTGAAGGGGAGAAGCATTCCAGTCCGTGGCAACGTGAGTGCAAAGGCCCTGGGCTGGGATCAAGCTCGGCCTCGTCTGGAATGAGGGGAGGACGGTGTGGCTGGCACAGAGTGGCCCGGGGGAGGGGGTGTCGGCACGCAGGCCAAGGCAAGGAGTTGCCATAGCAGAGAGAAGCTGTTATACTCCTGGTTATAGTGCATTACGGCGGCCAGCCGGGTGGGGAGAGGCGCATCCGTCACTCCCAGGTCACTGGGCTCCTTAAAGAGCATCCGCACTAAGTTTCTAACAAGGGACAAAACCGCTGTTGAGTAAGAGGCGCCCAGACAGTCGGTGCATCTGAAACTGTGATGATCCTGAAAGGGCTGTAGGTTTTAAGTTTTAAAATTTCCCTCGTACTGGGCGGAAGGAGGCATGTACGACAGGCCAGCACCGGCGGGAAGACTGGAGTCGCCCACTCGATAAACACGCGTGGAGTCTCCGTGCGCCAGGCCAGCGACGTGCAGGAAAGACAGAGATGCCAGAGAAAGACATGGCCCCGCCCGCACGGAGCTCACCGCCCGTGGGTGACTGTGACCAGTGACCGCACAGTTCACCACCTCTGGGTGGGGGTGGGGATCCCCTGGGAGAGGGCGAGGCAGAGACCTGGAGGAAATGGACTAGAAGGGACTTAGCAACTGCCTGTTGGGACGCCTGAAGGAGGAAGGAGTTGGGGAAAGAACAGAGCAGCTGGGGCCAGAAGAGCCATTTGCCAAGCTGGGGAGACTGGGACGGGGAAGCTGGTGGGAAGCCACGCCTTCACTTTTGGAGAGCGTCTGTGGTTAAGGCCCAGAGCTTGTAACCCTGCGGGAAAAACCAACGCACAGCCTGCATTCTCAGAGCGCTGTGACCAGGCCCCTGCGGAGAGCTGTAGGCTGTGGGATCTGGTGCGTGTGTTGTGAGGCCGGAATGTGAGTGACGGGGCAGACGTGAAGCAGCAGTGGCACCAGAGTGCCAGCAGGACCAGGGCTGTGGCGTTAGGAGCCAGGCTGCCCGGGAGGACGCACTTGGCCTGGCTCCCTGAGCCCGGGCACGGCTGCCGTGAGGGCGGGGACGTGTGGTGGGGTGGCCTGTGCACTGCAGGATGCTGAGTGGCTCCCCAGCCTCCACCCACCAGATGCCAGGAGCACCCTCTCCCCAGTGCTGACAACCAAGAATGTCTGCAGAGCCTGGACAGCGTGGCTCAGTGGTTGAGCGCTGATCTATGAACCAGGAGGTCACTGGATCGATTCCCGATCAGGACACATGCCCGGGTTTCGGGCTCCATTCACAGTAGGGGGTGTGCAGGAGGCAGCCGATCAGTGATTCTCTCTTATCATTGATGTTTCTCTCTCCCTCTCCCTTTCTCTGTAAAATCTATAAAAACATATTTTTAAAAAGTTAAAAAAAATGTCTGTAGACAGTGACAAACGGCCCCATTTGTTCTGGCCTCCGTTGGAGAGCCCGAGGGGAGGCAGTCAGCTCTGAGGAGAGAGGACCCAGGAGGCCCTCCACAGAACGTCCACGCGGCCTTGCCAGGCTGTCCAGCGAGTCTGGTTTAGCTTTGGAAAGTTCAACAACCTTGTGGGAAATGCAGCATCTAACTGGGAAGTTGGCCCTGGATTAAACATCAAATGCCACCTGGGACTCAGGGCTGGGTGGGGGGTGGGGTGGGGGTGGAGGCTCACAGGCTCTGCCCACCGGAACCCACCTAGGGCACCATCCGGAGGTTGATGGGGTCATAGGCCGACACCAGCAGATCCTGCAGCAGGGTGCGCAGGCCGCTCCTCAGCAAGTCATAGGGTGGCTTCTCCTCGTACTTGAGGGCCATCACCACCTTCAGGTACTCCTGCAGCGTCTCTGTGGGCAAGACACCCACCAGGGAGGGGCTGAGAGGGGCCGACCCGGAGCGGAGAGCTGCGCCCAGAGGTCCGCCACGGTGCCCCTCGGCTCAGGGCTGCCTCTGAGCCTGGCCCTGCCACAGGCACTTGGACACAGCCCCCCCCCCCCCC